CTTATCCCAAATGTTTACAGTTCTCCAAAAAGACAATGGGATCAGACTCATAATTGACTTAAGAAAGCTCAATTCTTATATTCACTTTCAACACTTCAAGATAGAGATAATTGAAACAACCAAAAACCTGATCAAAAGAAACAACTTTGTTTCCACACTCGATATTCAAGATGCATTTTATCATGTGCTATTAGCACTTTCTTCACAGCAATATTTTGCCTTCAATATTGGAACTCGAAGGTTCTGCTTTACATATCTTCTATTCAGCCTGACAAGCAGTCCAAGAATTTTCACAAAAATTCTAAAACCTGTTCTAGCGTGGGCCAGAGAGCATGGAATCAAACTTACAGCATATTTGGACAATCTATTAATTTTAGCAAAATTAAAAACTTTGGTGAAATAGCATACGAAACTGATCATAAGCAAACTGAAGAATCTGGGCTTTCAAATAAACCTAAAAAAATCTAAACTAATTGCAACTCAACAGATAGAGTTTTTGGGTTTCACAATAAACACAAAAAAAATATAGATTTTACTCCCAAAATCAAAAGTAACAAACATAAAAAGAAAGTGCAGAATAATGTTGAATTACCCTACCATGCATATAAGAAAACTCACGTTTCTGGTTGGGAAACTCTCTGCAACTATTGGTGTAATATTCCCAGCAAGACTAAAGTCAAAGACCTTTTAAGAAACAAGAATTTAGCACTCAAAAGGGAGAATGGGACACCACCCAAATTCTATCTGAATAGAGTCTAGAACAGTTGTAATAGTGGATAATAAACCTATAAAAATAGAATAAAATAGTTCTAATTCCAGATCTACCAACCACGATCATATATACAGATGCCTCACATCAAGGATGGGGAGTGGTTAAAAATGTTTGGAACATCTATGGTCATTGGATGGAGGATCAAAAGAAACTTCACATAAATATCTTAGAACTAGAGGCAATACACTATGTCTTTCAAGCCTTCAAAGATATTCAAAATCAAATAGTATTAGTCAAATCAGACAGTATAATAGCAGTCTCATACTTAAACAACCAAGAAGAAACCTTGTCGTACCTCCTAAGCATAATAGCAAAAAAAAATTGGAACATTTGTCTTCAACAAAATATAAGAATAATAGCATAACATATTCTGGGAATAGTTAATCAACAAGCTGATGCAGCATCAAGATGATCTCTGGACCGAACTAATTGGATGATGAACCCATTAATATTTAAAACAATCAATCTGAAATGAGGCCCCTTCAAGGTGGACTTATTTGCAAACATGATAAATACACAGCTCCCATAATACTTTTTAAGATTTCAAGACCCATCTGCAATAGCAGTAGATACTCTGAAACAAGATTGGAGCAAGTACAGGAATTGGGTGAATTACTTCTAGATTTTAATACCCAAAATACTGAAGAAAGTGCTAGAAAATCAAGCGACTATTTGCATAATAGTACCCTTTTGGAGAATGGCTGCATGGTTTCCTCTACTGACCAGCATGTTGATAGACCTACCAATACTCCTATATTGAAGAACCTCTTTTAGAAATGTTGCTCCCAGAAATTGAATCCACTATGCAATCCAAAGTGGCAAATATTCGCCTGTCTAATATCAGGAGTTCACTATGAAAGAAAAATTTTTCATCAGAAATTATTGAATTGGTAAAAAAATCAACCAACAAATCTTCAAATAACACAGCAGGATCAACCATTAAGAAATAGAATATTTGGTATGACAAACATGATGTGGATCTCATAAATAATATTGTGGAATTCTTAAAAGATATGAATAATGGGGGTAAATTATTCAACACAATCGCCAGATATCACTCAGCGATTAGTGAAGTTCATGATAAAATTGACAATATTAAAGTAGGATGCCACCCTGACATAGCCAAGATCATGTATGCGATTTGCAAAATAAATCCTCTACCTCCTATATCAGAAAATGTAATAGACATTATACTAGCAATAAATTATCTGATTAGTCTGGGATCAAACAATATGATGTGCTTACTAGACTTATTCAAGAAAACCACCTTTTTATGTGCTTTAAGCACTGCCAGTAGACCAAGCGACTTAGCAAAAATCAAATTGAAGTTTATTCGCCAAACTCGAGAAGGAATTTCATTTACTATAGAAAATCCTAAGGAATCGAACATTTCTGTTTCACACAGAAGAAAGAAACCCAAGACTAAAACTATACGTATCAGATACTATAAAGAAGATTTAGACCTCTGTCCAGCCTTTACTATGCTATTCATGATTAATA